AACTTATTAATTGTAACATGCTTCATCACATATTTAACATTTATTCATGTGACATTGATGTGGTAAATTTTCCGGATAATAGCAACTCCAAAAATTGATTAAATTTTTTGCATTTTTAAAAATGCGTTTATGTTGCTACTAACAAAAGTTTCACAAAAAAGTTTTTTTAAATCAAAATAAGTTAATAGGCATAAATCACATTTTTTTTTCTATTAAAAAATTCAAAAAAATAAATAATTGATTATTATAATTTTTTAGTCAAAATTCCGTCCATATATGGACGGATTTAAGGGATAATAAAATGATATTAAATATTAACATTTTTAATCGAACATATTGTTAACTATTTCTTGGCAATGACACTTATATATAATGTCATTTCTTTTATTTCTTTAAATGCTGACGAATTTATTATGAAATGACGGAACAAGAAATTGTAAACATGGTGTTGGGGCAACCTGAAGTTGAAGATAATGAGGGTGTTGATAAGACAAGTAACAAATACAGAAGCTATAAATGGTTGAAAATGAGCTTAAATATATACAACAAAAATATTTAGAAGTTAAAAAAAGAAAATTTCTTATAGAATCACCCAAGAAGCAAACAATGTTGCATTGATGAATTTATTATGAGTTGACAATTATGTATATACAAAATTATTATAAATAAAAAAATTTTTTTTGTTACACATTTAATTTGTATCACATGATTTGATCATAAGTTTCGATTTAGCGGATTAGGATCTCTCGATTTAACGGATGAATTTTCTGGAAAAAAATATCCGTTAAATCGAGACTCGCTGTGTATTATTATTATTGTTTTTAAATTAAAAATATAATAAATAATTAAATAAATATTTATTTCTCTACAAATTAGAAATAACTTCACGTGTAAATTCTGTTGTTGTCGAATTGCCACCCATATCACGAGTTTTGGCCTAAATTATATTTTGGAAAGAAAAAAAAATAATAATCAATTAACCATGTAGTTCAAATAAATTCACATAATTTAGACATCAATAAATCATACCGATCCATGTAGTATTGCTTTAATTACTGCATTATAAATTCTATTAGCATCATCATCAAGTCCTAAATGTCTTAACAACAATACTCCTGAAAGAATAAATGCTGTTGGATTGGCTTTATTATCTCCTTGAATATCTCTACCGACATGACGTGCTCCCTAATAATTTTTTATAAATTATAAATATATTCTTTTTTTATAAAAAAAATAAAAATAAAAATCTTACCGGCTCAAATAATGCATATTCTTTACCTATATTTGCACCTGGAACAACTCCCGGTCCACCAACCAATGCTGCACCAATGTTGCTTACAATTGCTCCATACAAATTAGGCATTACCATAACGTCAAATTGTTGTGGTTTGGATACAAGTTGCATAGAACAGTTATCAACTATCATATCATTAAATTCAATTCCTAATGGTTTATAATCTTCTGCAATTTTACGACATGTATTTAAAAATAATCCATCTCCAAGTTTCCTATATAAATACAAAATGTAAATGGGCGCGATTAGCATTTTTTGTCATATATATACATGCTAAATATAGGATATAAAATATATTTATAATCTCTAAACTAAGAAGATCATACATAATGTTGGCTTTATGAACGCATGTAACTCTTTTGCGTCCATTTTTAAGTGCAAAATCAAATGCAAATCGTGCAATTCGTTCTGTTTTTTCTTTGGTTGTAATTTTCAATGATTCTATTACTCCAGGATATGACTATCAAAACAAATAATAATAACAATCATTGTCATTATTATTAGTATATTTATGAATAATGTATATTTATTTGCATGTAAAGTACCTGATGTTCTAACCCTGCATATTCCCCCTCAGTATTCTCACGAATAATAACAAAATCTACATCTTTGTGACGTGTTGGATATCCTTTAATATTTTTTATTAATACCAATGACGCATAAATGTCTAAATCTTTACGCATCGCAACATTAAAAGATGGATGATCGTCTTTTTTTGTGGATGTATAAATTACTCCTTCAATCAACCAATCAACAAACCAACCAATCAACCAACCAACCAACCAACCAACCAACCAACCAACCAACCAAGTAATCAATTAACCAATTCACCATTGATCAATAGAAAAAAAAAATTAATATAATTCATTAATTATTTAATAATAATTCTAAAAAACAATATTAAAACATACCTTTTAATGCAACTTTATTTCTTCTTAAACTTTCCATACTTTGTTGAAATAACAAATCGCTATCTTCAGTATACCCGGTAACATTATATTGTTCCCATTCAATTGGAACTTTGGCCTCTTTGAATACTGTTTTAACTGATTCTGCAATCTCTGGCCCGATACCATCTCCTGGGATCAATGTGACAGTATACTTTCCTCCATATTTAGTGGTTTTCCTCTAATAATTTATGTATGCATGTATGCGTACATGTTTTTATTTATTGATTAACTATATTTTATATTTTATTTAAAAGAATAGCTTATATTTACAATGGTGTTCTCGGCAATTGGCGGTACAATTGAAGTTAAGCTACGAAAAAAATTCTAATTTTTTTAAATAAAAACAAACATGTCAATTTATCATATATTTCATAATAATCAAAGATTATTTATTACTTGTTTTACTCCAGTAAAAATAATTGGAAAAGGTTTTTTAATAATCGATTTTAACATTTTTTTTCTTTTGATGACAATAAGGTAGTGAGTGACAATAATAATAAATAATGCACGTTTAAAATTTTTTATCAGTAATACTTTAATCACGTGTCCTCAAAAAATTGATTAGTTCAGATAGTTCAGATAAATGGAAGTTAGATTTTTAATTTAATAAATTCATTTGTCGACATCATTATTTATCCCCCAACCTTCTCTTTTTCTATACCATTTGATCTTTTCCTGATCTTCTTAATTTATCTAAATAAGCATTCCATCCTGCATCCCTATACCTTTTCGCTTCATCAACCATGTCTTTACCACTTGCATAAATTCCACGACCAACAATAATAATATCAGTTTTACCATTTGTTATAACTTCTTCTGGTGTACTATACTGTTGACCCATTTTATCTTTTGAAACATCTAACCCAACTCCTGGCGTCATATAAATGAAATCCTGTTTTTCTCCTCTTCCATCATCATCATCATCATCACAGTCATCATCTTTTGGTCCACTGCTACTACCAGAGGGAGGATGAGAATTGGCATAAATAAATCCAATTACAAAATCATCATGATTATGTGCCATTCTTATAGTTTCCTTGGTGTATGATCCAGTTGCTAAGTTACCTTTACTAGACATCTTTGCTATTAATAATAATCCTCTGCCTAATGGTAATCCAACCTCCTTTAATCCTAATACAATACCTTCACCCGGTAATAAATGTGCATTTGTAATATCTGCCCATTCTACTATTTTATAAATTCCTTTAGAATATTGAAGTTTCACAGTATTTCCTATACATTCGTTATAATAATAATAATAATAATAACAAATATATTATATTGTATAACTATATAATATAAAAAGTTGTCATAATAAATATATGGGAAATTTGCTCTTCTTCTTACCAATATCTGCAAATTTTCTATCTTCAAAAATCAAAAAATCATGTTTAGCTTTTAACTTTTGTAATTGATCAATTAGATCTTGATCGAAATCTGTTATAACATCAATATGTGTCTATCGTAATAATAATATTATTATTATTAGTACCAATTTTCTCAATATGTCCAAATACGTTGATTTCATAAAACAATCACCAACTCATTCGCTTATTAACTCATTACTTTAACTCACTCACTTTCAAACAACAAATATACTGTCCAACTTTATCAACCACCTCAAGAAACTGTTTTTTTGTAGTAACATCAAGCGCTAAACTTAAATTGGTTTTTTTACGTTCTACTACTTCAAATAATTTTCTTGCTGTCTCGTTACGAAATTTTAAAGCTCGCTCACCATAAGTCGCCATAATCAACTAATTGAAGTTTTTTTCAAAGGTAGGACAGACACGCATAAATTTCGGAAATAAAATAAATTTTCATAATGGAAGATACTATAATTCAAGAAGCCAAAGAAACGTTGGATAGTAAGTTTTTATGGAAAATAAATCTATTTATTTTACAATTATAACAATAACAATAACAATACTATTATTACTACTATCAGTACTTTATGAAATTTCTACATTATTAAATACTGGATTGGATAGGGAAACATTGTCTTTATGTATAAATCTATGTGAAAATGGTGTAAATCCTGAATCATTGGCTGTAAGCATTTATTTTATATTTATTAGAGTGAAAGAAAGAGGAACGATTAACTTTAATTAATAAAAAATTTTTTTTTGTTTTTTTAATAAAGGTTGTAATCAAAGAACTTAGAAGAGAATTTAATTCAATAAAGGTAAATATTTAAAATTTTGTTCATAATTATTAATATTAATTCATGAAACTTCCTAAACAAATTTTTTTATATCTCAAAAAATTTACAAAAAGAGTTCAAGTTCATCAACAACAGCAGCAACAAATCCTCAATAATAATAGTAATTTTGAATATGTATTTGCACTAATAAATACTTGGTTTAAACAATAAAATAACAAGTAGCAGTTTTCTAAAAAAACAAAAACAAAAATTTATACTTTCATCATCCATTCATCCATCTTATTATCGCTACTTCCTCCCATTTATAACTTTACCAATTTCATCACCATTACTACCTATGCCATCATCATATTTTCTTTCGCCTGAAAATTTCTCCAGTCTTAGAAATGATATGTTGAGTATCTACAGATATCTTCTCCAATTAGATCAAACGAACTTGGAATATAATTGAAAGTTTTAACAATTGATGTAAAATCCATTGCAAACATTACTGGAACTAAGAAAAACAATCCAATACCAATAAAAAAATCCTTCAGCCAAAAAAACTTCTGTGCTAGCAATCATTAGAATAATATTTATTATAATAAATAAGAATATCAATAGAATTGTTAAAGACATGGCATTCGATTCAGTCACTCCATATGTAAACCAACTAAATTTTTCCCAAACAAGATTTTTTTTTTTGTATTTTTTTGTAAATAATATTTAGGATAAATGATTATTTCTTTTCCTGTCCAGCTGCGCGAGTAATTAACATCAGACAAAGGCAAATAATAGGTTGTGGTTTTTTAATCATTTCCATATATGATGGCGAAATTCATTTAATAAAATTCGAAACTTTCAAAAAAATTACTCAAAATCAAAAGTCTCTTGAAAATTGTAATTTAATTCAAAATCAAAATTTACATGAAATCAAATAACCAAATTAAATGACTTTATTATTAAGCCATATTAATTATATATCTTCCAATCCTACCAAAAATTCTTCAGCAATATCTTCAGCTACATAATTAATTGTTTCAATTCTTCTTTCTGAAATACTTTTATTAATGACAGTAATTTCACTTGTATCAAAAATTGGACCATTTAAATTTACAATCTCTTCAATTCTTTAATTATTTTTGTCTAAATTTTCATTTTCATTTAAATCATCATTAGTATCCAAATGAATAATATTATCTGATTTATTATATGGATTCAAAAATTCATTTTAGATAAAATGCAATTTCTTTTTCTGTAATATCTTTCTCATAGTAATTAAATTCATTTTTGCATGACTAACATAATAAAAATGAATTTTAGCTAAATCTTCAATCATCTTTATAGATAACCTGCTTCTTCTTTGCCCATAAAACCATCACAAAATAGAAAAAAATTTGTTTAGCACTAGCTATATGTGGGATAACAGAAAATAATTTGATTGCCAGTTATTATAATCATCTTCGCATGTAGACCACCAATTAATTGGATTATCCAGTCTAGTATATGGACTATCATATGGTGATTCATTCAACTTATATTTTCTTAATTGACAAAGAAATTCAGAACATGATTCCACCCCATTACTGCAATTATAGTAATTTTTCTAAATTGTCCTTGTTTCGATCCTCTTCCATGATGCATTGGGTGTAAAAAGTATGTTAATAAATATCTTCACACAAAATTTCTACATCTGAAAAAAATTACATTGTCATAATAAACTCAAACATCTCTATTAGTTATAACTGTAGGATTTTCTGAAACAATCCATTTCAAGCCATTTTCACAGAATTCAAGCAATCCCATGCAGAGAACCATCTGGTTTTAATATATGTTTTAAACCACCACCTGAAATTCAAATCTTTTGAATTGCTTCTTTCAAATGACGATTTCCTTGGTGAGAATGATTAAAAAATGAAATTACTTTCAAACAATTGTGAAGAACATTATAACCCCATAAAAATTTTTCAATGATATCTTTGGTTATTAGATTTATAAAATGTGTAATACATCTTAAATTTAAGATATTTGGGTATTTTTTATTGACAATTTCCCTTGCTACTTTAACATTTCCAGCTCCATCTGTGACTATTCCAGAAAATCTTCTAATACCATTTAAAATCAAAGTTTGTTCTATTTCTTTAGCCAAAAAATCTTCTGTATGAGAAAATTCAGAATAATCCATTAGATTCAATAAATATTCTTGGCCATTTGAAGTTAATGTTATATAGTTAGTTATATATAGATCTTCTGGCTGGATCAGTCCATCCATTGCTAAAGTAATATTATTTTGTTGCTATCAACTTTTATATTAACATTTGCTACTTCCTCATTAACAAAAATCTTTGGATAATTAAATCTATTAGGTAATTTATATGCGGGCTTTAATTGATTAAAAACTCAATGAAGAATGGATTTTCTACCAAAGAAAAGGTGATCCACAACAAACATTCTTGATCAACTGTTCTTTGTTTTTGAGATGTATATTTGTTGAGTCATAAAAATCATTCAATACCTTTTTTTTCTTTTGATTTTGATTATTATTATTATTATTATTATTATTATTATTATTAGTTAGACATACTCCTTGTTCCAAAGAATTTACTTTATCCAAAAAATCATCATTTTGATATTTACGTAAAACAATTTCAAATTGTTTTATTTCAATAGGTGCATTTAGACATCCATTTGCTAAATGTTCTTGCATCAACTTTTGTTCCATTGTCACTACAATCTATACAGGTTGAATCATACTTGCAGCATATCTTACCTTTATTAAAATGTGTCCAAAAAATGTTAGGAGGTCTTCCAGCACTCTTAGAATTTGTCAAATAAATCAGAATTGCCTGATATAATTTAAAGACAATATTTTATTTTGAATTTAGTTTTGAATTTAATTTTGAAATAAACATCTAATCATAATAATAATAAATTTTAATGTTAGTTAGTATCTTTAATAACATATATATTTATATGAAAATAAAAAATCGAAATTAATATCTTTTGTTAGTCCTCGATAACTTATATTTGGGAGGATCTTGGGCAGAAGTCAAAAATAATACAATAAAGTCGGGTTTCATAGGAAGTGTAACAGATTCCCTTTTTGGAGGTTATTTATTATTTACATTTGACTGATTATCAAAAAAAAAAAATTATGAGCACGATTATAGATGAACTTGCTAAAGTAACATCCATGATACGGAAAACTGTTCCTAACATCGATGACGCTATTGTCGATTACGTTATTGGTTATTTGGATGAAACACCTTCTCTAGTCGATAGTGAGGACGCGATTGGTGACTTCATTCGACCAATTTTGCTTGATGCAGGCGGTGAAGAAAAAGCAATACAAAAACTTTGTGATAAGTTGTCTGAACTTTTTATTAAGGTCAATGAGTCTACAAATAAAATTTCTAATAACCGACTTGCAAAATTGGAACAGCCTGTAAATATGCTTTCACGAGAAGCCATTTCTGCAACAGCACGAATTGCTCCTCAAAGTGTAGATTTAGAAGCGGTATCTGGTAGAAAAGTTAGTACAAGGGTGGACACTAAAAAATTAGAAAAAGCTGAAGCTAAGATTAAGGCTAAATTAGAAAAGCGTGTTCGTAAAACAAATTATGAAGCAAGCAAATTGATACAAAAAAAAGATCAAGATGCTGAATTTTACATGAAAGTTAATCCTATCTTGGATTATACTACAACAAAAGGAAAAGTCAAGGATGTTAAAATTGAAAACTTTGATATCTCGTTTGGTGGTAAAAGGATTTTAACCAATGCAAATTTGACTTTGGTTTATGGAAGGAGATATGGTTTAGTTGGTCGTAATGGTATAGGGTATTTAAAAAAATCTTTGGTTATTATTATTATTATTATGATTATGATTATTATTTGTTTTTTTAAAAAATGATTTTTATAAACTTTTTGATTTTTTTTTTTTTTTGAATTTTATAAAAGAAAATCAACACTATTGAGAACTTTATCAAGAAGAGAAATAAATGTACCGACGCACATTAGTATTTTGCATGTTGAACAAGAGGTAAATAGTACAAATGAAAAACTATAAGTTGCATTGATTATAAACCTTTTTTATGAATTATATAGATGGCAGGAGATGATACGCCTGCAATTCAAGCTGTGTTGAGTGCTGATATTTGGAGAGAACATTTGATAGAAGAAGAAAAATCATTAAATGCAAAAATAGTTGAGCTAGAAAAAAATAGCGATGAAATAGATAAGGCTAGTTCTGAGGCGGAAAAAGAAGAAGCTAATGCAAGATTGAAAGAGGTGTATCAAAAGTTGGAAGAAATTGAAAGTGATAAAGCAGAATCGCGGTAAATAAGAATTATAAAATTATATTTCTTTTTTTATTATTATTTACTTCTAGTTAATTTTTAACTTTTCTTTAGTGCTGCATCCATTCTTTCTGGTTTAGGATTTCCAACAGATAAACATAATCAGCCAACAAGAACTTTTTCTGGTGGTTGGCGCATGAGACTTGCATTGGCAAGAGCTTTGTTTTGTCGTCCTGATTTATTACTATTGGATGAACCTACAAATATGTTGGATGTAAGGGAGCTTTCTATATCTAAATTTTTGGTTTTTATTCAAAAAAATTATATATTAATTTTTTTAAAATAAGATTCCAGCAGTTGCATGGATTGAACATTACCTTCAAAAATGGCAAAATACTCTTTTGGTTGTATCTCACGATCGGGGTACGCTTTAAACAATTATACATAGCATTAATAATAATTTTAATTATTATTCACTTGATCTTATTATGGTTGTTAATTATGATTTTTTTCTGAAGAGTTTCTTGATGAGGTGGCGACTGATATTCTACATCAACATTCAGAACGTCTTGATTATTATAAAGGCAATTTTACAAAGTTCTATGCAACAAAAGAAGAACGTCGCAAAAGTCATTTACGGGAGTATGAAAGTCAAATGCAACAACGCCAACACTTACAAGATTTTATTGATCGTTGGCGTTATAATGCAAAAAGAGGACCACAAGCTCAAAGTAAACTTAAAATTTTAGAAAAACTCCCAGTTCTAGATCCTCCAGAGGTTGAAACGAATGTTACATTTAGGTATAGTCAACAAAAATCGTTGTCATTTTCTTGAAATTTTTATGTCAATCAAATTTCAAAAACCTTTTAGGTTTCCAAATCCGGATTCTTTGAATCCTCCAATTCTTCAATTAAATGAAGTCAATTTTGGATATAAACCGGGAGAAACAATATTATCAGATGTTAATCTTTCTGTTCAATTAGATTCATGCATTGCTGTAGTAGGTTAGTTTTTTTTTTTAAATTAAATAAGTTCAAAAGTATTTATTATTACTATTACTTCAATAATAACTATATATTTAATAAACCATTAATTCTGAAATATTAATCAAAGGACCAAATGGTTCTGGTAATTATTTTTCTTATTTCTATCTCATTCTTAATCGAACTTTTAAACATGCTTTAATTAGTCAACTTATGATTTAGGTAAATCAACTTTACTCAAGTTATTAACTGGAATTTTAGAACCCATATCTGGTCAAGCACATAGACATGGACGTCTTAGGTTTGCACATTTCATGCAACATCATGTTGACCAATTGGATCTTGACACAAATGCCGTTAGTTTTATGGCTAAACAATATCCTGGTAAGAGTGAGGAAGAGTATCGACGTCAGCTAGGAAATTTTGGTATAACTGGTATGACAAGTTTACAGCCTTTGGATACATTATCTGGTGGACAAAAAAGTAGAGTTTCTTTTGCTTGTTTGGGTTTACAATATCCTCATATTTTGATATTAGATGAGGTATTTTGTTCATATATATACCTATTTATTTAAACTGGTTTTTGATTTATTTTATTAATATTATTATATAAAAACGTAATTAACTCAATTTATCATATTAAAAGCCTACAAATCATCTTGATATGGATTCAATCGATGCATTAACAAACGCATTGAAAGAGTTTAAAGGGGGGGTAATTCTTGTTTCTCATGATGAAAGATTTATAGATTCAGTTTGTCAAGAGATTTGGGTTTGTGAAAAAGGAAAAGTCAGAAAATTTGAAGGTGACAATATTAGACAATATAGGAAAATGATTGTGCCTAAAGATGAACCCTGATAAAGCCTTTGAAGTTTTATCATGACAATATTTTTATATAGATACATTTATAAGAACAAAATCGATAAATTTATTTAATGAAATATAATTTTTTTTTTATTTTTTATTTTTTTGGAAAATCGACTTTTTTTTCTTCTTGCCTCCTAGCTTATAAAAATATTGGTGTTGGTTATTCAAGGACTATTTATTCTCTTTTGCGATTTTTTTCCACTCAGTTTATAAATCTTTGGCCACCAAAAAGGTTGTCATCATGATAACCATAAGTTAAAAAAAATAATATATGATTATTCAAAGAACAAGGATGATGCATGAGTCGTCATTGTGGATATTTGTTTTTAATAGACTTTAAGAGATTTATAACTTACCAACACAATTGAAAATTTTCTCAAGTAAATCGGAGAGGTATTACAGGCCAATATACAACTTCGTGATTGTCATCATGGGTTTGAAATGATTGAACAAAATCGTTATTGACAATCCCTTCCAAAATTAAAATAGTGTTATATGAATCACCATATAATTTTCTTATGTCGGAAGTATTAATCGTAGATATTAAAGAAGGGTCTGGTTCAGAAGTTGAATATATAATTTGTGATGAGTCGTCATCAGCAACTAGATAATTCGAAGTTGATGCAGTTTCAGAATTAGATTTTGTAGCATTTTCTACTACGAATAATATCAAGAAATTAATGTATTAATATATTAATATATTTATGTTCTTGTGAATATCGTTAATTTCTACAATGCTTACAATCTAACCTCCTTAACTCAGAAAAACGAAACATCGCAATTGCTTCTTCACTCAATACAAACTCAATTTTATCCTCTTCTTGATAATGTTCATCAACTTGATAATATTCGTCTTGATCTTGATGATATTCATTCTCTTCCTTCGTATAATGTTCTTCCACCTCTTCTTTCATTTCATTACTGTCAGCAGGCTCTTGTTCTATGACATCATTTATGTTCCATAAATGCGAAGGTGTGGGATTAAGCGCATGCTCAAAAAATTTTCTATTTGCCAAGAAGTGTGTATTATAAAAATTACGAAAATTAAGATATTTTTGAGTGCGTTCCATTGTCAATTAAGAGATCAAAATTAAATATAAAAATCAATATTAATATATATTAATTTTTAATGCAAATCCTAACAAAAATAGACAATTTTTCAATTCTATCTCCTCCATAATTACCAAATAAACTTATTTAAACTTGGTATGAGAACCTATATCCTAAAATTATTGGTTTACTTTTTTAATTTTTTTTGGTTTGCTAAAAGGTTTTATCATGCTTGATTCATCAGGAAAACATGATGGGATTATAGTATAATTATATGTGTAATCTCAATCATGATTTCCTAATGCTTATAAAAATTACATTAAAAATTGAATAATTAAATGCAAATGAAAATTTTAAGCCAATAGAATGAAAGAGCAAGTTTCAAGCTTTTGTTTGATACTATTTTTATGGCTGTAGCTAAAAAAAAGTACCTCTGGTTAGTTATTAACACGTTTTCTTTGGGAGACCCAAACCAAACCAAACAACTCATGTTTTGTAAAAAAAAAAAAAAATCAATCAATTCACATCTGTCCTCCCAAAAAAAAAAACCAGTAGGATAAATAATTAGTGTATGTGTAGATCAAATCACAAACTTCTTTTTTTAAAAATGTCAAAATCTATGACAAAAAAAAGAAGACAAGAAAATCATACTGGTGAACTAGCTGGGTAAGTGTTTTAAGGATGGTGGTGGTTATCACCTACCACTTGTCATTACTCTAGTTATATAATAATAACTCTATTTTTTTTTTAGTACTTTAAAACTAGATGATCTATTATATGAGTTACCTCTGGATCCAACATCTTTAGCCAGGGCAGTAATTACAAAAATTGGAGAAATCTGTAAAATTCCAGAGGAAAGGGTTCAAAAAATATTAGACCATGAAGTTGAGATATTTGAGCAATTAAAAATCATATTAATAAATTTATTAGATAAGTTTCATCATGATGATTCATCTGATGAACTTGTAAGCTCCTTTAAAAACTTTCCTTTTTATAATCTTGTCCATTTTCCTTTTTTTTTTTTAATTAACTTGTGCATTTTATTTTTAAAAAGATGGAAATTCTAAGTATTGGAAATAACAGTCCTTCTACAGTATCAATTTTCACTTTTAGTAGTGATGGATTTGAAACAAATGGTGGTGATTATGGTGGAGCAGAAAGTAAATTTGTTGGTTTGTTATAAAGACTGGTGCTGTAATCCAAAAAAAGGAAAAATTATGGTTGCAAAAGTGGTTGCAACCACTTTTATATGCATAAATACAATTACTAACATCATCATAATTTACGGCACCAGTCTTTAGTTTGTTATTGGTCATTTATCTTATAGTTTTTATAAAAAATATTTGTTGACAATATATTGTCTTATGAACTGTCCATTGGATTTCAAAGAAATATCACTCCAAGGTACATACATAATTAATGATAAACTGGAGCCCATATTCTTTTTAACAAATTATATTTTTCTTTATATTAATAATAAAGCAACACAATATGTTTTAATAGAAGAACCAGATAATGTTATATTTACTGCACAAAAGAGACCTAGATCCAGAAATAATATATTAAGCACTAAGAGGGTATTTATTAATTTTTGTTTGTGGTTTATTTTTTACCATCAATATTTTTATTAATTTGATTTTCCAAACTATAGCCTTGTCATAATGAACCATCATCCACTATTCCAACTGATGATTCATGAACTGTATCTTCACAAATTAATACTAATGATGCTGCTGCTGCTACCACTAATGTTAATGCTGATGTTAATGTCACCACTGTTGTTGGCAATGCTAATACTGCTGTTGATGAAAACAATGATCCACAAACCAATGATCCACAAATAGGGATGGGCGGTTCCGCTCCGCTCCGTTCGGCTCTTGTGGAGCCGCTCTCCGTTACACAAAAATCAAAAGGTTTCACAGAAAAAAAATACAAAACTTCGGCGACGAATAAACATTTTGATATAAGAAGGTGACGAATAACACATTTTTTTAGTGTGACAATTAAACTTGGCATTTTTTAAAACAGAATTTCCAAAAAGCATTTGTCATTTAATAGCGAGTCCACTACTTTTAAAGGAAATTGTATCATATAAATTTAGCAAAATAAATATATAGTAATAGTAATAGTAATGTGTTACAAAAAAATTTTAATTGAATTTAACAATGTGTTGCGAAAATAAAATAATTGAATTTAGCAATGTGTCGTGAAAATAAAGTAATTGAATTTAACAACGTGTCGCAGAAATAAAGTAATTGCCAACTATTTATAAAAAGGCGGGTATCCAAATCAACTCAGAAGTTTCTCACCTTTGTTTTAATATTTATAATAATAAAAATGGATGAACAAATACAAGAAAATTTTGATGATCAAGAAATAGGCAACTTCTACCGAGAGAATTTTTACATCAACCCTGATGAATCAATTATTCGTTTTTTTATTATTTTATTATTATATATTTATTTAGTCAAGAAAAAAATTCACGTGATATATTCAATGATCTTTCCTTAAAAGGAAAGATCTTCTAACAGAGCGGCTCCAGAGCCGCTCCTCGGCTCTATATCGGTTCGGTTCCAGAGTCGCTCAGGAGCGGCTCCTTAACGGAGCCGCCCCATCCCTAGGTAAGTGTGACTGGTTAAATTACCAGAAGGACAAAAATTTTATCAGAATTCTCTAAAGTTTTCTGGAAAGTCTGGGAAAATTATATTGTATTTTTTACCCTGATACTCAAGTACTCACAGATTTGAGAAGACCTGATGTACTATGTTCTTTTCATGGATGTACTAAAAATATATTTTTTTTTTAAAAATAATTAGAGAAAAAAAATTAAATGTTACTACAGTGCAGATCATCTATAATCATTAATTGCTTATACGGTGCAGATCATCTATAATAATAATCTAGTGATGTTAGCCGGCTAATAATCTGCATGCATAATTCTAAATTTGGTAATAGATTTCCGCGTTACTTTCTTGTTATAGAAATAAAATTACCAATTTAGGTAGTAAATGGCTTAGCCGGCTAAGGATTTTTAAATGGCTAACATCACTATCTCTTAAACGGTCAGAGTATTCTTTAATGGTAACACAAATTAAAATTTTGATCATTCTTATTGGTCAATTTAAC